ACTTTGTATTTAGTTTACGAAATTCTGTGCTTTCAATAAAACTCATATACCTAGAGTTATTAATTTCTCATTTTGTCCGGCCCGTTGAAAGTGCTGAATTACCTAATGTGGCCCGCGGTTCAAAAAGTTTGGAGACCCCTGGTCTAAAGCAAAGTTAGAAAGCAGTGGCAATAAAGCATTTCCTTGTTCTAGACCATCCTGGGTAGGAATATTATCAGACAAATATTTACCTATATAGACTTTATTACGTTTCGTTTAAACACATTTTAATCAGCCTAATTAGTTTCATTGGTACTCCAAGCTCTATCAGAACACTGTACGATACATCTTACTGTATCATAGGCTGTCTTGAAGTCTATGAATAGCTGATATACTCTCATTGTATTGCATCTTTTCTACCTCATTTATTTTGTACTCTTTGAATTTCAATAGTAGACGTCGTTCTCATGACTGTGGTAAAGATTTAATGTCAGGAGAAAGAATCTTTTAAAAACAAGTTATTTATCTTTGCCTCTTTCTGAAATTTGAAGGTTTTCTTCCCAAACATAATTTTTCGATCTGTACAGTCTAACATCATTTTCCTTTTTCTTGAACCACCAGAATGGTTAATTGTTAGCTTCGAAGGCACAGATGAAACACTGTAGAAATCTAGAAGAACTCGGCATTCAAAATGCATATGGGACTTCAGATATTGAATTTTCTCTATCGTGGTAACTGAGTGAAGTGTCCTGAGACTCGGTTGGTTCACCATCTGAACTGCTATGCAAACTGTTTTCTGATTGTTCAGAACGCAGCAAATCCTTAAGGAGAGGCGTCATGCTGTAATGTTGCCACGAAGAATTTCTCGGAATCTGCTTTTCTGTGGGTACAGATTTTGGTTTTACGACTTATTCTTTCCTTCTGAATATACTCCTTTAAATACTTCCATTTGTGTTTTAAAAATTACATTGACACATATACAAATTAACATATGTAAAGTTTATTCTTGACCGAACAAAGCGCAGTCTTAGTTTCAATTCGTCCTTTTGACATTTGTTTCTCTCTTTTCACTCAGTTGCTTCAAAATAACATTTAAAATATTAGCCATTCTTCAAGAAATCACACCAACCCAACAATATTTTAAAATTGCATGATAATGGTATATTGCCTGGTAGGTTTTTGTTAATAAATTGAAAACTATCTCAATGTCCATTACATAGTATTTTGTGCCACATCATGTAAATTAAACACATCCATGTACGGTTTATATATAATTATTCAGGCCACTTCCCGAGGATATTATGAAATTTACATGCAGGTGCAGTATCAAATACTCACTCACCACATATCTTCTAATTACATGAGTATATTTTAATTCCATAGCTTGGTGTTCCTTTGAACTTTCAGCTAATATTGTGAAATAACAAAGAAAGCTTATTTTATTCCAGACAAAAGACAGGTATATTCTCAAGGAAACAAACTAATATAATGACTCCTTCATCTAAGTTTTGCTAGTTGCTTTTAATTCTAATAAACAGCATGAACTTATCATCATTGTATACGAATATTCCCTCGTGAATATTTTCATTTCATCTTTCCAGACGATAACAATGTTGTGTTGCCACAACCAAAAAGTGATCTAAAATGCTTGTGACAAAAGTTGTGCTTGGGGTAATTTTAACTTTAGACAAAAGAAATCAGAGGAGTCAAGAGAGCTCAGTCGGTTCCCCACAGGGGCAAGGAATGTTCCTCTTTTGCAGGGTCCATACCGGCTGTGGTGTCCACCCAGCATCTTATCCAACGGGTATTGGAGCTCTTTTCCTGGTGGTGAGGTGGCCAGGGCAGAAGCCGACAACTCACCTGCCATCCAACATATTTCTTCATGTTGTAGTCCTTGAGTGATTAAAAACAGGGACTAATTAAAATTAAGCAAACAAAACAACTCCCTAGTTGTTTCTTGATCAGTTTAGACAAAATAAAATA